GCGAAACACCCTCCCTATTCTAAAACGCAGTAGCCATATCCATGCCCGCCGACCGAACAGCCATCGACTTCTTCGGCGGTGGCGATGATGTGTCTTTCCACGTCGGAGATCCTCTCTTTCATTTAGCAATTTATTTGTTCATAGGAGACGAATAAATTTTCGAACTTCTTTCAGCGTACATGTTTTAAGCATGGCGACCATCTTGTACCAGCTGTTTGTCAGTGACTGCAGCAACTGCAAGTCGACCCTCGGCGGACCATTCTTGAACTATGTTACTGTGTCAATATTACGCAATTATTGGTCTAAATATTACGCAATCATTTCTCAAATTAAAATCATTGGAGCCATTTTCACCTTTCTTTTAGATTCACCCTATATATGAGATATTCTTAAAGTTCCTGCCCCAAAATTTTCACGATAAGAATGTAATGAAAGCAGCTTTCGGGTTTCATCAATCCGTCTCGTCTGAAAGCATCTTTTACTCACGAATACCGTATCTTAACAATTTGCTGTGTAAATTAAAAAAATTCCAATTCTGCCTAATTTGGAAAACTTTAATCGTCAATAACTTTTTTGGAATTCTTGTCGAAGTATGAATCTTTCATAAAATGATGGACCGAGACAAATATGTCAGAAATAACACACATGCTTTCTAGTACTCAGAAAATCCAATTTGAGAATGTTTTAAATACTTATCATAAGGCGTTTGTTTCTTTCACACCCAAATCTTGTTTTAGGTGAAACGGTAGAAACCCGAATGCGAAACCCGAAACCCGGTCGTCTCGCGTGGGTCTTCGATCTCCGACACCAGATGACGAACACTTCCGAACAATTACAACGTTTTTTTCCATCGAATTCCCTATCTATAGATAAGTTTTGCGACGAGAAAAGCTGTTCCAGAGGAGACACGTCTGCACGCACCGAGGACGCAACTCCTCGATCGAGGAAGGAGCTATCACGATTATCAAGAGCGAACTTCCTCCCTCGAATGCCATCTGACCGTGTCCATGGACCATGGTAGAGTCTTTTTTTCGGATCGGCTTCCAGTTTCGTCTGGTGTTCCTCGCAGAACAAGGCGTGGCTCGTTTCGAGCATGAATAATTAATTTTTTTTATTTAGAAACCGTGATGAATTATGATAATTTCTCATTAATCAATGATTAACTGATTAAAAATTAAATACTTATGAAATGGGTAAACAAGTAAATTAAACGCAAAATAAAATGTATAGTACTTCGCATTTCGTACCACTGCAAAAACGCCTCCCTCGTGTGCCACTCCTGCAATCAACTGAATAAAGTCAACAAATTTTGAGAGCCTGGGCCCTAGATCACAAGTATTAGAATTTAGCTTACTTGAGGCCTAAGTTCCTCTACTTAGGCTAGGTCTATCTATCTATATCCTACTAACCTATACTAATAAGTAACCAATGAGATTATAACACTGCGCTGTATCATTAATTTCATGCAATATAATCCGAAAGAGTACAGATAAATATATTTCATAGAAATCACACGAGAAACACACCCACCCACTTATCTGCAGCATGCGAGTTGGGACCACCGACTCCAAACGAATAACATTGAGCGGGAAATTTGAGCGGGAAATTCAAAGCAAGCTAAAATTCAAATATGAGGTATGGGTGGATGAAATGTCCAGGGAAATGCTCCAAGTAAATTGTTGGTACAAATTCAAATGCCACATTACAATATTTATGGTGAAATGATGCTGAAATCATGAAAATATTATTCATTTTCCATCATCTTTTTAAAATTATTTTTGATTACTTAACGATTAAATTCGAAAAAATAATTAACTGGTTAATTGATTAATCAGAACCATGCCCTAGGCTCGTTGCTCCTTTACGAGGAGTGAAGATTTCCAAACGATGTTCCGATTCAAGGCTTATCTTTCAGATGACTCAGTACGAGCCTCTTGCGTCTCCTCACGATTTCGAAAAGCTGAATCGTCGCCCACCTAACATTACAATGGTGACTCTTCGTTAGCAATATGGAAATAAATTGGGAAATTGGCAAGATTCTGTACTAGCTGGAAGGGCAGAACCCGCGCAGCCCAGAAAAGAATTACTGAAACCGCACAATACGCTGAAGCCGAAGGCGAATAAATTCCCTGGTAGTACGTCCTCCAATATGCATTAAACTCAACTTTATGGAATGAAAAGAAAGCCGGGGTCCCCCATCCCATCCCCGTCTCCATTCCATCCCCATCCCATCGTGAAAGCATGGACCTCATCCGGGGCTCCAGCCACTCGGATTCCAGCTAAGGCCGGAGGATGGTGTTCGATGGTGGAGTGGGAGCACCCGAGGTCGGCGGCAATGTCGGGAGTGGTAATGCAGGGATCGGCTTTCACGAGTTGTAGTAGCGCCTCATCATCCAACTCCGACGGGCGTCCCGACCTCGGTTTGTCTTCGACACTATAGTTTCCGGACTTTTAGCGAACGAACCAATTGAAGCACGTCTTCTCGCTGATGGGTCCTTCCCCAAACGTCTGGCACAGACGGAGATGGGCGTCGGTTGCCTTCTTTCCCAGGCGGAACGCATAGAGGAGGCAGGTGTAGAGGTGGTCACGGTCAAGGTCGAACTTCTGGCTCATACTTGGTGGTAAGGGATTGAAAATACACTGAACCTGCACGCAAGAAGGGAGACTATTTATAGGCGAAGTGGGAAAATTTTTTAAAATTCGTGAGGCGCCCTAATGAGAAAAGGCGAAAACTGCAAGAAGTTTCCGGCCAACCCTATATAACATTAGAGATTCTCAAAGGAAAATCAATTCCACGAAGACTGGAAATTTAAAAATATTTCGACCTTGAAAAAAGGAATTTAAAAATATATTCTCTTATTTCTCATATTTATGAAAACAGTTAGTGAATAAATATTTTTTATATCTTCTAGCTGGCTAAATATCCCTCATCATAATTGGCGTAACATGAAGATTCACGTCCACATGTAGTGATATTGGTATTATACAAGTAGTAGGGAGAGTAGACCCTAACTTCCCAAGTGACACATGAGCGTTCAAGAGCACGTTCAACCTCTGTTTAAGGAGGTTTTTGGACGTTGAATGTTCAGGGATGACCAGCTTTTGAATGTTCACCAAAAATGCTGGTTAGTCACTAATTCATTACGCTTTTCAAGGAAGTTCGTTGAACATTGCAGAGGCATTTTCCTTGAGCGTATCTGCGCTATCCATCTGACAATGGCTAGAATCAAAGGTTCCCACAACTAACGCCAGATGACACGGTTACGAGATTGCCTATGACCCCTGTCATGGGAATTGAGTTTTACTTAGGATTAATGCAACCCTTTGATGCGGTTTAGGAATAATAAATTCACATCCTTGATGAACGTTCAGGGAAAGAATAACTTGAACTTTTTGTTATCGCTCTAAATTTCGGACATTTGAGCAGTCAATAGAATGTTCCCAAGGGCGTTCAAGGAATGCTGGCAATACCTTAAATGAAACGGTCATTGAACATACATTAAACGTTCCGGTGATACTTGGGTTATCTCCATTGATGAGCTAATGCTGTTACAGATTATGAGTCACAATTGGGTGTGGCTTCAAAAGATGGCTTTTAAAAGTCAAGTCCAATCACCAAATAAATTGCGTGCAAGAATGCCGGTATTGCATCTGCAGGAAGAGGAAAGGAAAACGATAGTACTTCAAATATAAAACAAATATGACCCAAGCGTTCCTCCACATGGTGCTTGAATAATTGAATAATATTTTTAAAATATTTTGGTGAGACATTACAGTGAAAAACTTTCTCGTTTCCAGGACAGTAAAATGTTGATGTTAAGTGTGACCTATGCCTCGTTTCCTTTCCTTGAAGTTGTGGCTTGCTTCATGATTTTAAAAGCAAAGAAATACAGAGGAAAATATGTGCTTATGAAGATTTAACCACTTATGCAAGAAATGGACATGTTCATAACTATTTTTGTTCAAGTGTTTCATGATTCATAAGACCATGATCAGAACGCGAAGTAGATCCAGCTGTTTATGGCGAGCAAATCGATAATGAAAGTTACAGGACAAGGTCCAGGACTCCCTAAAGAGACAAGTCAGACTTGTCTCTCCAGGGACTAGAGGTTCATTACGGGCTTCAATACAGATATCTGTAAGCTTCAGAATGCTTTCTTGAAGTGTTACGACCAGGAACATTAACAAAGGAAATGTCCAAGTTGTCCTGTATTTCAATAATGAAGAGAGATAATGTGATTAATTCCTCGAAGAGCAAATTCAGCCTCGTGCGAAGAGTTGCAGGGAGCGAGATTTCCGGGAAACGCTTAAACTGATCTCGATTTTGTGGATGTCGGTGTTCCAAGAAAAAGAATATTACCATTCTCCATTTGAAAAAAAAAGAAGTCAACAATAAAAATAAGAATCAGTAGTCCGTCAACATGTGATACTGGCGAAAGCACGAATCCACGCACAAGCCGACGTTTCAGAAAGGAACTTACTTCTCTCACGTGGTAGGCTTGGCTCCTTACTTTTTTCTCCTTGCCGAGCCACACCTCCACGCTCCGTGCAGCTCAGGCAGTTGGTTGGTAAGTATTAATAAGATGGTCCTGCCTGCGGCTGCAGCTGTTCCCCTGACGTTATCGCGCACGACATATTGCTTGGACGAGGCCAAATTTCCGAAATCTGTATAGACTGATGAATGATGTTCTGCAACGTATTTGCCGCGCGAACCCCATACAGCTCGTTGCTCTTGGAAAGGTTAATCCTTGACGTGAAAAGAAGGCATACCGAGAGAAAAATATTCAGCATAGAACTGCGACACTGCATTAGGCCTATTACCAGTGAGGTAATATGGAATTATTGCAGTCATGACAAGCAAAATGCGATGATTATTAGAGAATAATCATGAAACCAGAAAATATATTCACAACATGCGCTGAGAGATACTTGCAGACTCTCTGGAAAAAAAAAGTCTGACGGCATATACTGTAGATGAATGAATATAGGATTGACGTCATTCAGACATTGAAGTAGATACGTCTCCTTAGGGTGGAGATGAAGGAGGGCATTTGCTTCTTGCAGCCATTGTTTCCATAATCAGCCACCCGGTCTCCCACCAAGGTCAACATCCCCAGCAAGTCTTCCTTCTTATGTTCCTTTTCCAGAACATCACACAAGGTCCTGATGTACTGGGAACCTCCTAGCTTGGGATATCCAGGTACCGGAAGCGTACGGTAGGCCGTGTACCCTGTTAATGTTAAACTCTTAATGTTCGATTTCAAGGTCAGTATAACTAAAAGTGCTACTCTAAATTACTAGTAAAAATACGTGCAGCTTGTGTATTTATTTCAAGTGAGAGAAAGAGTATTATTCCCGGCAACATTGAACCATCTGGGTGCAAAATATGATCGTTGAGAGGGGTTATTAGTCGACGTCCGAATATACAAGATATACAAGGTACTCCTCATTTGAAACGACGCTATTGTGGGCATCACAAGCATTTAGTGAAGATGGCTCTCATACCAATATTATAACTTCGGGTTTCATTCCGATTTGATTTTGGTCAAACTGAACCCTGTGATGGAAGGAACATACACGCACAGCATACAACCGATTGCATATAGCTCGTATGTGTTTAAAATGAAGAAGACTTTTTAATCAATATTTCTTGAGATGGAGTGACCATCTCAATTATTTTGTCAAGAAAATAGACAATCCAGTTTTAGGCTTTAATTTCATTCAATATCCTTTTTATGAGTGGGCACCTCTTGATTAGCTGGAAAATATTGACCATTTAAGAATTTTGGCCTATATCAATAGAGCATCTGAAAAATCCCTCAAGAAAAACGCCCTTAAAGTACGAAAGGGAGTTTCGTTTCCCACTGGAAAGACTCGTAGAATGATAATATCATTAAAAATAAGAGACCTGGCACCGCTAACCTTGCACAGAAGCCTTAGCTAAGAGGAAGTCCGCATAGGTCGGAATGTAGTAATGGTCCCCGGGACCATCCAATTCGAGACCATCTCTATGGAGATGCCCTTCGTCCTCCTTTTCACCCTCGCAAGCCTGAAATGATGCATGAACCTTGAAAGTGAACTTTCTCTCCTGTAACACCCTTTGCGTTCACAAAGTGGACACTCGGTAAAAAATTGAAAGACTGACCTGTACAATAAAGAGTTTAGGTTTGTTGCTCAACGACGGGCAATTCTTCGGATTGAAGAGCTCCAATAAATCTTTCACATAAAATTTACCATCCTTGGTTCTGAGGAACCAAGTCTGATCATTGTTCAAATTCCCATGAGCCATGAACACCACCACCAAGTAATCCGCATCATTCAAACTCTCCTTAGCAACTACAGAAATAAATGTCAACAGGTCGTATTCTTGACATTTCCTTCAGCTCGATTTTCTCCAAACATAGATTTTTCCATAGTAAATCAAAGGGCTGTTTCAATTTCAACTACGAGGGAGGCTCGGAAAATAAGTCACAAAAATACAATTCAGTTAGGCAAGAGAGGGCAGATTGCAATCCTCATGATTTATTTTTGCACATTATCCCTCAGTAAATTGATACATTTTTCCCACCCTTGCACAGCTTCGCCTATGTTGGTGGCTTAGAACGATGTGGACTGGTATCAAAGCCATTCATGTTCAGCTAATTACACCTCTAATTACACATCACATGAGAAACACCAGCCAAAAAGAGTGCATATTCCTCTCAGTAGAGATGATCGCTTCTTGGTGGGAGATCCGGGCAGTAGCTTAACTGTGGCGTAACCGTTTCGCATTTCTTTGCAAATAACAATATCCAACTTATTTATAGGTAATTTTGAATTGAAAGTCGGATCTGACATGCATAAGCACGACAGAAGACTGTCCAATTAAAAACCTTGTCGTTAAGAGAATACAGGAAATGTCCCAACAAGAAGTTACGGAATTCATGGATGGTCAGTATTCAGCTGTATTTCATCATCTGCCCTTCTACGAAGGGCAGTCAAAAGAAAACGGGACATGAGGTGAATCACACACAACCGAGAATGTCCCGTTTTCATTTGATTGCCTCTCGTACATTAATCTCCCTTGAATATCTGCTTTATCCCTTTTCCCTCCCATTCCACCATTTTCTTTTGCCAATATTTGTCCTTTTTAAACCTACTTTGCACTTCTATTTTACTTATTTTTAGCTCATATTCACTTCTTTACCCAGAGAATAATATTCATTTTTTGCTGCATAAATATTCTATTGCATGGTACTTTCCACCCTGAATACGAATTTTCCTAAAGAAAAAGGGACGCTGTGTCTCGCATTTTGTGGAGGCACTTTTCTTTATATTTCCATTTTCCACTTCTGCATCATCAAATATAGGTAAACTGACTTCATGAATCCTATCATATTTATAATAAAAGCATTTCCACAATGGAGGTGAAAATGCATCCTATTCAGAACTCATTCAGGACGTTATACATGTATGCTCAATTCACCTTAGCATCTCATAGACCGCAGAATTGAAAAGAGAATATAAGGACACAATGGAAAGTGCAATTATTTCAAGGATAATGAGATTTCGAACGGGGTATCTCTTGACGTCCTACTGGCTTCCTCCAATAGCGTGAGATGACCCCAGGGACGTCCCGTTTTCATCCCAGAGTCCCACTCCCCATTGCGAAGCATACGAGGTCTGATCAAAAAGTATCCGACCAATGGCCGGGAAAAAAAAACTCTCTAAACTACGGTGTTGCGGCCCTAATCCCCTTCAAAGTAGGCCCCTTCTGATACCACACACTTGTTCCAGCGGTCCTTCCATTGTTCAAAACCCTTTTGGAACTCGCTCTGTGGAATACTCAACAGCTGCGTCGTCGCATTGCGTTTCATCTCCTCTGTGTCTTCAAACCGCTTCCCCTTCAATGCATTTTCAACTTTGGGAAAAGGAAAAAGTCACACGGAGCCATGTCCGGTGAATAGGGGGCTGCGGAACTTGCTGGATTCGATGTTTGGCCAAGAAGTTCTGGACAAGATGTGACGAGTGGGCGGGGGCGTTGTCATGGTGCAGTCGCTCCGCTCCCACAACGCAGGTCGCTTGCGCCGCACAGCAGCACGCAGCCGCCGGAGAACTTCGACGTAGTACTCCTTGTTTACAGTTTGGCCATCTGGTGCGTATTCATGGTGAACGACGCCTTTGTGATCGAAGAAAACAGTCAACATCACTTTGACTTTGCTTCGAACTTGGCGAGCCTTCTTTGGCCTCGGTGATTGAGGAGTCTTCCATTGTGATGACTGGGCTTTGGTTTCCGGATCGTAACCGTAGACCCACGATTCATCACCGGTAATTATTGTTTTCATGAAGTTTGCGTCTTGATCAACACACTGCAGCAAATCTCTGGCTACCGCAAGGCGAGCTTCCTTCTGCTCGACTGTCAGCAGTTTTGGGAAAAATTTTGCTGAGACGCGTTTCATAGCCAAATCTTCTGTCAGAATGGACTGTACAGAACCAAACAAAATCCCCAACTCATCGGACAGCTAATTGTTATCCTCCGGTTTTCTCGCACGGTAGCACGCACTTTGTCAATCATCTGTTGGTTCCTGCTCGTGGGTGGCTTCCCTGAGCGTTCATCTCTCTCCACTGACGTCCGTCTTTCTTTGAACCGCCTAAACCATTCCTTAATTTGCGTTTGGCCCATTGCCTCATTCCCAAAAGCCTTCAGAATCATACCGTATGTTTCTGAGCATGAATGCCCAAGTTTCTGGCCAAACTCGATGCAGATGCGCTGCTCAATTTTCTCAGTCATCGTCAATGCGACGCGCAAAAAACGCACAACAATAGATTTTGACTGGTTGAAGGTAACTGAGCAGTCCGAGCGACGATTAATAATTCACACATGCGCACGGAGGTTCAAGGTCACACTCACCCTACTCCCCGGCCTCAAGCGTCTTCTTGTTGAAAAGAAAAAAAATGTGGCCGGATAATTTTTGATCAGACCTCGTATAATTACAGCAGATAAATATCCAAGAAAGATCTTGATGTCAGTGATATTCCTGTTTATTTTCCATTCTTTCGATACATGAATATTAATTTTAACTCTTTATTCACTGCCATGCACATTTCGGCCATTTAGAAAGTCTCTGCTATCTTAGCCTAACGCGCGAAGCCTTACATGCTATGACTTCCTCGGCCATAGGCTAAGCGAAGGGATGCATGAAAACGGCATATGCCGTGATTGGCAGTGAATGTGTTAAGGTGAAAAGTACTTGTTCTTCGAGCGCAAAACTTGCGTCGTCTTCAGTAGAGTGCAGTATGATTTGTACGTATTTGAGATATGAAGATAATTTATATTTGTATAGTGTATGCATTTTCCGAAATCAATGTCACTGCCACCACTTGCGCAGGGAAATGCATGGTCAGAAATTTGTGTCCTGCCCTCTCTTTCAGGAAATGAAAAAGGGTATTGCACAGCTCAGGAGGCATTCTTGTGGACATAGGAGAAAAACACACTCTGCCTTCGGTAATGTTATTTACTAAAAGGGTCGCGGATTCTCCCAACTGATTACTGGATGTACACCCTGTACCTATCATCATCGAAAGCTTTTCCTTCTGGGGACATAAAAAAGCAAAAGCGTTGCAGCACGACCTCTCAAATTGTATTATACATAACCAAGATGGACTTCGCTTGGGAGCTCTGCGACCAGAGTGGAGGATGCTTCGTATACGGTCGCAATGCGGCTTTGCCTGAGCACTTCGCAGTCGTGCGTCGGCCATTACTCCCACCCAATGTCCCAATCGTGTTCTCCTGATCATTTCTGGTCTCATAAGAAGGGATGTTAATAATAATCCGAGTAGCAACAAAGTTTGTGACGCACAACATAAAAGTTTGTTCTGGAAAGGGGAGATTTAATGCTTCCAAAAGTTTGCCCGAAGGACCATGCTGCTCTTGCCTGTTCCATAGAGAGTAACAAATTCAGTAGCGTGCCATGAAACTGTTTAAAAGAAACGCAGTAAAATAATGAAATAATGAAAATTAAATTTAAAATATGCAAAACAAGGAGAATAAACTGAATAGGCTATTGAGGTTAGGATGTGGCCTAGGCATGCAGCTTGCTTGGTTAGGATGTAGCCTAGGCATGCAGCTTGCTTGGTTAGGATATAGCCAAGACATGCAGCTACAGGAAAATTCGTCTTTTCCAACCCAAGCGCAACAACCTGTTATACTGGTGGGCCACTTAACACATTGTGCCTTGCAGCCGTCATACGACGTCCAATGCTAATAGCAATTACAAATAGCCGGGGCTGAAAGTTTTAAGCGAAATGTCAGAAATGTGCTGTCAGTACGGGTGACAGCTGAGAAATATGGCTTCGGTCCGGCGTTCACAAAACTCATGAATTTGGTCTGAACTTCATAACGGAACGAAACTGGCACAAATAATAAGGAATCCAAGTGAAGGGCATAAGCATGTATCGTTCGTCGCATGTTAGAAACCTTCCCCTGAGGTCTACTGTAGGTCATGGTTTGATTCGCGATAGAAATCCTGCATTCCAGCTTGAAACTCAGGGAAGATTTTTCTCATCCTTTCTCAGAGCACCATTTTTAAAAGGATTTTTTTCTTCGTTTTTTTTTTTACATGGATCACCTTGAATAATTCTACTGATTAGCTAACAGATGTAGTAATACAGTTAAGGTATTAAGGGAAGATGAAAATCGACCCCCGTAGAATCAAATTCTGGCTTATAATTATTGTAGAGGACCCCAAGGGAGGGCTTTGAAGCCACTTTTTGGCACTCTCA